CCATGTTCATATCAATGTAGGAGAATGAAAGTGAATCCTGTATATATCTGTAGGGCGGTCATAGGATTCATTGATGCTCAGCGATAGGCCTGATTACTGAGTGCTGGAGAATCAGCACAGGAGTTATGTCATGAAATTCATATAGAGTGCCATCATTATCCTGGATCCTTGAGCTGGATTATTAATTGAATAGGACCATAAGAATAGTTCATCCAAATCATTTGTCTCACGTAATTATTATTTTGTTCTTGCATGTTTATCAAGTTTAATTATTGTTGTTTACAAGAATATGGTTACCTTTGCGATTAGTCATATGAATTGATACGTGAACGAGACAGTCAGTTGAAGTTGAAGGATCGCAATTGTCATTTGTCAGCGTGTGTACGAGCAGTGTTGCCGGATGACCACTCGTGGTTCTGTCACAGATTAACAGACCATTTTATTCTGTGGTTCCGTGCTAGATCCTCAGATCATTAATAAATCAAACTAAATAAACGTCACTTGAGAGTTGCCATTCACGAAATCTAGTGTTCAACTCATTTTACCCACCCCTCTCCCTGAGCTGTATTCTGAATAACTATTTTCCAATCGAGGAAGATACGGAAACTCAACAAAAGGAATTCCCCGAGCAAGAATCCATCCTTTTGTTGCCTCTCGAGTACCGAGGGGTAACAATGACCATAAAAGACTACTCTTAAGCGGGTATAACGCACACAGCTTGCAGAGCAAGAAACTTCGACTTCGACAATGTTAACACCGTAACTCTGCAGTCTAGCATCAGACATGCACAGAGTTGGAGCATATACGATTGCAGTGACCGTATAAGACGACATTGAAGGGTATATAACGAGTACAATCGGCAAATGGAGATACGTCGACTTCATCGTTGTGCACACTATATCTCTCTATCTAATCATTTTACATTTACACAATTGAAGCAGACGAGTTTGCATTGACCATAGAAGACGACTTCCGAGCGGTTATAACGCACACAAGTTGCAGAACTCCGACTTTGACTTTGTTAACACTGTAACTCTGCAGTCCAGCATCTGACATGCATACAGTTGAAGCAGATACGATAGCAGTGACCCTATAAGACGACTTCTGAGGGTATATAACGAGAACGTTTTCAAATGGGGATACATCGGTTACAACGTCGTACACACTAAAACTCGCTATCCTATCATCTTACATGGTCACTATCAAAGCAGACAAGTTCACAATGACCATATTAGATGACTTTCAAGAACGTATAACGCACACAACTTGCGGAACAAGAAACTTCGACTACCATTATGTTCACACAAAAACTCTGCAGTCTAGCATCTGACATGCATACAGTTGAAGCAGATACGATGGCAGTGACCGTATAAGACGACTCTGAAGGGTATATAACGAGTTCAATAGGCTAATGAAGTTACATCGACTTCATCGGTGTGCACACACTATCTCTCTATCCTATCATCTCACATGGATACTATTGGAGCAGACGAGTTCGCAATGCCCATATGAGACGACTCCTAAGCGGGTATAAGGAACACAACGTGAAGAACAAGAAACTTCGACTATGATCACACTGTAACAGGAACGATTGCAGGGACCGTATAAGAAGACTTTGGAGGAATTATAACGGGTACAATAGGCGAATAAAGATACATCGACTCCATCGTTGTGCACACTATATCTCTCTTTCCCTTGACACTATTGAAGCAGACAAGTTCGCATTGACCATATAGGACGACTTTCGAGTGGGTGTGATGCACACAGCTTGCAGAAGAAGAAACTTCGACTTTGACTATGTTTACACTGAACCTCTGCAGTCCAGCATCTGACATGCATACAGTTGAAGCAGATACGATGGCAGTTACCGTATAAGACGACTTTGGGTATATTGCGAGTACAACAGGCAAATGTGAATATATCAACTTCACCGTTGTGCACACTTCATCTCTCTATCCTATCATCTCATATGGACACTATTGAAACAGGCAAGTTCACATTGACCATATAAGACGACTCGCCAGCTGGTATAACGCAAACAGCTTGCAGAACAAGAAACTGCGTTATTGACTATGTTTACACTGTAACTCTGCAGTCCAGCATCTGACATGCATACAGTTGGAGCAGATACGATGACAGTGACCGTATAAGACGACTTTGGGTATATGGCGAGTACAACAGGCAAATGGGAATATATCGACTTCATCGTTGTGCACACTATATCTTCTTATCCTATCATCTCACATGGACACTATTGGAGCAGACAATTCCACATTGACCATATTAGACGACTCCCAAGCTGGTATAACGCACACAGCTCGCAGATCAAGACACTTCGACTTCGACTATTTCTACACTGTAACACTGCAGTCTAGCATCTGACATGCATACAGTTGGAGCAGATATGATCGTATTGACAGAAGACGACTCAAGAGAGTATATAGCAAGTACAATAGGCAGATGAAGATACATCGACCTCATCGGTGTGCACACTCTATCTCTCTATCCATTCATCTCACATGGATACTATTGTAGCAGACGAGTTCGCGATGCCCATATGAGACGACTTCCAAGCGGGTATAACGCACACCACTTGCACAACAAGAAACTTCGACTACGACTTTATTTACACAGGAACTCTGCAGTCTAGCATCTGACATGCATACAGTTGAGCAGATATAATCGCAGTGACCATATAAGACGACTTTGGAGGGTATATAGAGGGTACAATAGGCAGGATAAGATACATCGACTTAATCAGAGTGCACACTCCATGTCTCTTCTCCATCATCTCACATGAATACTATTGAAGCAGACGAGTTTGCAATGCCCATATGAGACGACTTATTAGCGGGTTTAACGCACATAACTTGCAGAACAAGGAACTTCGACTATGTCCACACTGTAACTCTGCAGTCTAGCAACTGACATGCATTCAGTCGATGCAGGAACGATTGCAGTGACCGTTTAAGGCGACATTGAAGGGATTTTAGCGGGTACAATAGGCAAATGAAGATACATCGACTTCATCGTTGTGCACACTATATCTCGCTATCCTATCATCTTACATGGTCACTATTGAAGCAGACAAGTTCACACAGACCATATCAGATGAGTTTCAAGAGGATATAACGCACACGACTTGCAGGACAAGAAACTTCGACTTCGATTATGTTTACACGAAAACTCTGCAGTCCAGCATCTGACATGCATACAGTTGAAGCAGATACGATGGCAGTGACCATATAAGACGATTCCAGAGGGTATATAGCGAGTACAACAGGCAAATGGGGATATGTCGACTTCATCGTTGTGTACCCTATATCTCGCTATCCTATCATCTTACATGGTCACTATTGAAGCAGACAAGTTCACAATGACCATATTAGGCAGATACAATAGGCGAATAAAGATACTTCAACTTCATCGTTGTGCACATTATATATCTCTATCCTATCATCTCACATGGACAATATTGAAGCAGACATGTCTGCAAGTGCGCAATGACCATGAAAGACTACTCCCAAGCGAGTATAACGCACACAGCTTGCAGAATAAGAAACTTCGACTTCGACTTTGTTCACACTGTAACTCTGCAGTCTAGCATATGACATGCATACAATCGAAGCAGATACGATGGCAGTTACCGTATGGGTAGACTTTGAAGGAAATATAACGAGTAAAACAGGCAAATGTGAATATATCTACTTCATCGTCGTACACACTATATCTCTCTATTCTATCATCCCACATGGACACTATTGAAGCAAACGAGTTCGCGATGACCATATATGAGACGACTTCCAAGAAGGTATAACGCACACAACTCCAAATTGAGCAAAGGTATTTATAAGTGTGAAACAAAAACAGCTGGGACTTCCTATCCATGTTCATATCAATGTAGGAGAATAAAAGTGAATCCTGTATATATCTGTAGGGCGGTCATAGGATTCATTGATGCTCAGCTATAGGCCTGATTACTGAGTGCTGGAGAATCAGCACAGGAGTTATGTCATGAAATTCATATAGAGTGCCATCATTATCTTGGATCCTTGAGCTGGATTATTAATTGAATAGGACCATAAGAATAGTTCATCCAAATCATTTGTCTCACGTAATTATTATTTTGTTCTTGCATGTTTATCAAGTTTAATTATTGTTGTTTACAAGAATATGGTTACGGTTGCGATTTGACATATGAATTGATACGTGAACGTGACAGTCAGTTGAAGTTGAAGGATCGCAATCGTCATTTGTCAGCGTGTGTACGAGCAGTGTTGCCGGATGACCACTCGTGGTTCTGTCACAGATCAACAGACCTTTTTATTTTGTGGTTCCGTGCTAGATCCTCAGATCATTATTAAATCAAACTAAATAAACGTCACTTGAGAGTTGCCATTCACGAAATTTAGTGTTCAACTTATTTTACCCACCCCTCTCCCTGAGCTGTATTCTAAATAACTATTTTCCAATCGAGGAAAATACGGAAACTCAACAAAAGGGATTCCCCGAGCAAGAATCCATGATTTTGTTGCCTCTCGAGTACCGGGGGGTAACAAAATTGGCGCCCAACGTGTTCGGATCTGTTTATACAGGGTGATCAGTAAGCAACTCTCAACTGAGGTTTATCTTAGCCATTATCTTACTATTTTTGTCTCTCGTTTCGGTTAGTAATTTGGATTTTCTTGAGCTTGAGTGGACAGGTATGGTATGATTTCGCCGATGGTTTTGCCACGATTCCAGAGTTGTTGGTGCAGATGAGCATTGCGTGCTTTAGATTCATAATTTTAGAGCATTGAGGTCATACCTACACAAGGTGTTGTGGTCAATAGGTGACAGAGGTATTCGAGGTCTGGTATACGAGGGGTATATAAGAGATCGCAATATCCGAATTTTGGAAAAAGTATATAGATATACAGGGTGTACATAAATTGTAACTTTTCTTTTCTCAGATATTTAGGGTATAATTTTTCGTATGTTCGATCTCATTGATCCGACAGATGGAGAAGGTGGCATCAAGTCAGGGGATGTGGTTGACAGATTTCCATCCAGAGGAGGAGCACCTTTGTTCACGTCTTCCTCAGGCCCTCGGACAGGCCCTCATCCTTCTCCCCAGCAACAAGCTTCACGAAGAGCTGATTCCCTCAATCCTCCGGATCCGTCTAGCCAGAGTCAGGCTCACCTTAGAGAATCGGTACTGCCTGAGAGTCAGAACCCGATGTTCGTTGGGTTTGCGGAGGAGGACCAGTTCCCGGCCAACTCGACATGGTCAACCCGGTTTGCCACAAGAAACCAGTTATCACAACTGGATGACTTGACTGATGATTATTCCCCAACACTGGCCGATAAATTTTATAATCTTCGATTGCAGTCCCCCCAAAGCGGCAACAACGTACGGCAACGTGCCAAGGAGCAGTGGAGTCAAGTAGATCGCTGGGGAGTACGGTTCAATGAAAGGACTAGTGTCAACGATTTCCTTGAGCGGATAGAGAGGCTTCGGTTGTCCAGCGGGGTTTCAAAAGATCGACTTCTCCGGTCCGCTCCGGAGTTGTTAACACACGAGGCCCTCCTTTGGTACCGCACTGGACGGTTAAATTCCTGAGATGAACTGGCCGATCGATTTAGGGAGGCATTTCAACCGTTTGACTATGAATATGGGTTGTGGGATGAACTGAGAAGAAGAACTCAGGGTGCTCAGGAGAAGATTATGAACTATGTGTCCATTATGGAAAACATGTTCAGGAAAATGCCCAGGTTGCCCTCAGAACCTACTTGAGTTAACCTAATAAGGAGGAATCTGTTGCCCCATATTCAGGAACAGCTTTCTTTGTGTGGAATTACCACAATTGCGGAACTGGTTCGACTCAGTCGAGCAATTGAAGAGACGGAGTGGAGAGTGGACAAATTCACTCCACCCCCTACGAATGTGCGTAACCTTCTCGAACCTGAGTTGGCTTACCTGCGTACAACCCCAAACCAACTTTCTTCGGTGCGAAGTGAGGGTGCGGCTACGGCCTCAGCAACTACCTCCCGCCACCCGATGCCTGGTTCGAACCCCTCAAGTGATCTGAACGTCGACGCGATGACGAATCAGCCTGCGAAGTGTTGGAACTGCCAGAGTTCTGAACATAAATTTCGTCAATGCTCTCAGCCCCGTCGGAAATTTTGCTTCAAGTGCGGACGGTTGGACACAGTCTCATACTCATGTCCCAACTGCGCAAAAAACTCGAGAAGAGGTCCCCAGTAGGCCGGTGGGTAGACCTCTCCACTACTATCCTCCCGGTCGATCGAAGAACTTCCGTAATCATCGATTACGTGCTCGCTCACGCAAAGGGTGACACGAGGTCATATCTGACGGTGGATATTTTGGGCCAAAAGTTCCTATCCCTATTGGACTCGGGCTGTACTCGCACTGTTTTGGGAGAGAGAGGTTGGAAAATTCTTGAACCGTTCTGTCGACTACAAGAGGTTTCCGAGCAGCAATGCACGGTTGCTAATGGACACAGCTGTCCCGTAGTGAGGATGATTGTTGTTCCAGTGAACTTATGTGGTAAGGTGATAATTTTCGAGATATTGGTAGTTTCCTCTCTTCCACATACTCTTATACTTGGTATGGACTTCTGGTCAAGGATGCGAATCATTCCGGACATGTTCTCGGGGGAACGGGGTTTCCGGAACTCGGAGGAGGAGGAGTCGGCCCCACAGTATCTGAATTCTATCAGTACCCTATCGGACGTTCAACGCCGACAGCTAGATGCCTTGATTGAGGCAACTTTTCATTCTATGGGGACCAAACTAGGATGTACCAACTTAGTTTCTCATGTCATCCAGACTACATCTCCCCCTCTTCGTCAGCGATATAACCCGGTATCTCTAGCACTACTGAAGCAGGTGCATCTTGAGTTGGATCAAATGCTCTCTGACGGAGTAGTAGAGCCCTCGTCCTCCCCTTGGGCCTCGCCTATTCTGTTGCTGCGAGAAGATGACGGTCGTTACAGATTTGTGGTAGATTTCCGGCAGCTCAACAAGGTCACGGAACGGGACGCCTACTCTCTGCCTTTAGTAAGTGCTACCCTGGATAAGCTACGGGATGCGCACTATTTGACCACTTTGGACATCAAATCTGCTTACTGGCAGATTCTCTTATCGGCCGAGTCAAAACCACTGACCACATTCATTGTACCCAATCGGGGGCTCTTCCAGTTTACCCGGATGCCTATGGGCCTTCACAATGCTCCTGCAACATGGCGAAGGTTCATCGATCGGGTTATCGGGGTAGATTTAGAACAATACGTCTTCGTCTACCTCGATGACGTCATCATATACACAGACACCTTCGATAAACATCTTCATATTCTGACAGAGGTTTTGGCGCGACTTGCGGGCGCAAGCCTGACGCTGAATAAGAATAAATGTCACTTTTGCAAGGCGGAACTCAAATACCTGGGCTATGTCGTAGGCTCATCAGGGTTGATGATGGATCCAGAGAAGGTAGAGGCAATCGTTAAGATTCCTCCACCACGTACTGTTACCGAGGTGAGGAGACTTATCGGGCTGGCCTCCTGGTACAGGCGCTTTGTGCCAAATTTTGCCTCCCTTACTTCGCCCCTCTGTGCGCTGCTGAAAAAGAATTCGAAGTTCGTCTTGTGAGTCTTGTGATCAGGCCTTCCGCACTCTCAAGGACCATTTGATCACCGCGCCCGTCCTTTCATGTCCAAACTTCGAGCTGCCCTTCGTGATACAAACCGACGCATCGGACTACGGTATTGGGGCTGTGCTCTCGCAGGCTTCCGAGGAAGGGGAGAAGGTGATCTGTTACTTGAGTAGATCGTTAACGGCCACGGAAAGAAAGTTCAGCACCACCGAGAAGGAATGCCTGGCGGTGCTGTTCGCTATTGAGAAGCTAACACCTTATGTAGAAGGAACGAGGTTCAGCGTAATCACCGACCACCACAGTCTCAAGTGGCTTAATAACATCAAGGACCCGGTTGGCAGGATCGCCAGATGGGCGGTGCGGTTCCAACAATATGATTTCGATATAGTCCATAGGCCCGGTCGCGAACATTGCGTTCCAGATGCCCTATCGCGAGCCGTTCCGGTTGTGGACTCAGTCGATGGTCCAGCTGATGAAGCCCCACCAACCACGAAGGACCCATGGTATCGGCGTATGATCGCCCCAGTGAAGGCCCGACCTGATCGCTATCCCCTTTGGCGGATAGAAGGGGAGCGTATTTTCAAAAAGACCAAGGTCCCTTATATCCAGGTCTCTCGGAAGAATCCGATGGATGGCTGTTGGTGGTCCCGAAAGAAAATCGCTTGGAGATCATCCAGAGAAAGCATGACCCTCCCACGTCAGGGCACTCGAGAATCTTCAAAACATGTTCCCGGATAGCCACAAAGTTCTACTGGCCCAAACTTCGTCAGGATGTCGCGCGGTACATAAATAGATGCCAGACGTGTCTGAAGACCAAACCTGAGCAGAAGGCACCGGCGGGACTGATGCTAAGTGCTGGCCCTACGGTATCACGACCATGGGAGATTTCAAGCGTCGACCTAGTAGGTCCGTTACCTCGATCTACCGCGGGCTATACGTATATATTTTCAGTAATGGACATATTCTCTAAATTAATTCTCTTGTTTCCATTACGGGCGGCAACGGCGGCAAAAGTGACCACCTTGTTTGAGGAAAATATAATTCTTCTGTTTGGGGCTCCTCGACGGATCATCATGGACAATGGGGTGCAATTTCGGAGTGGATCGTTCAAGTTGCTACTACAAAGGTATGACATTATTCCAGGCTACATATCAAATTATCACGCTCAAGCCAATCCGGTGGAGCGCAGCCACCGGGTTATCAAAACAATATTGACATCTTATGTTGCCGATAATCACCGCACCTGGGACAAGTTGCTCCAACAAGTGGCGTGCGCAATCCGGACGGCCCGACATGAAACTACAAGATTAACCCCAAATTTCGTTATGTTTGGCCGGGAGATAAAATTATCGGGACAAGACAAACACTTCTTGTCAGATCAGCTCGACCAAACACCTCTTGATGCAGTTATCCGAAATGAGGTTCTTGGCCGAGTTTTCGAAGATGTGAGTAAAAGAATTGAGGATGCCATTATAAGGAGTAGTAAGCAATACAACCTTCGACGTCGTGACGAACGGTTCGTACTGAGTCAACAAGTGTGGAAGAAAAATTACGCGATTTCGGACAGGGCTCGTGGAGTGACGGCAAAATTTCTTAACAAATTCGATGGCCCCTTCACGATTTCACGCATCGTCTCCCCCTGGTCCTATGAGCTTTCCAGTGATATGGGTAAAAGCGTTGGCGTATGGCATGCCAAGGACCTCAAGGCTCACCCTCCCGATATGGACTCTTCAGAAGAATAGAAGTCCTTCATAAGAAGTTTTTTTTCTTACAAAAAAAAAACTTCTCTCAGGAAGAGGGGGTGTTGTTACGATCCAAAAGTACCTGCTCTGATCTGAATGGTAAATCTACTAATTTATGCATTTGTATGAGAGAATGGTGCCAGATTCAGATATATCATACAAAGCCCTACGCTCATTTGCATCTTTATTTCAAGTATCATATTATAACAACAGATATAGATGGTAATCCTGCGGTATCTAACAGCTCTGGGATTGGTGCTCTCCTCGTTGCAGCAGAATAGTAACCCCTAAAATCATTCAATGTATTCGGATAATGAGATTACCAGGAGCTTTGTACTTACCCGCTTGTCCCCTACTCCTGGCTTTTGGCCTGTTCCATCCAGGGTAGCCAGTTTCCATCAGCCAATGGTAACCCTGCACCTCAAGAGGTTCATTCCTGAAAATCAGAAATAATTATAAATAACATCCATCAGATTATTTTGTTTTGGGTTGGTTAGGATAGGTTATGAGTATGGATTTACCTCTTGCCAGTGCAGAACATCTTCTGTGACTGAACCACAGCCAGTTCTCATTTCTTTATATTCTGCTCACTGGTTCTGCTCCCTCCTTCTTCTTTTGGTCTTAGTATGGAGACACAACCATCATCAAGACATTGTCAACAAGAGGAACAGGTTGACAAGCAGTTGTGAGAGAGAAAGGTTAGGATTGGATTTTGCCTCCAAAAATTGTAGGTGTCACCTGGATTCCTTTTTTTTTTTTGGCTTCAACCTCCAGTATAGTATGTGTGCTTAGGAAATTGCAGAATTTGCAGATTTGAAAGCCAAAAAGGAAAACTTGGAAAATATTAGCAGAATCAATCATAAAGTTGATTATTTCACAACACAGTGTGGATTTATAATATTTTCTTCCTGACTCACCAGTT